GTTTAGTTTAATTTTCAGAAACTTATTTTAGAATTTTCTTTCTAAAAAACTAAAAAACAAATTGGTGAAAAAATAAAAAAATACTTATTATTTTTATATAATGTTATCTTTTAGGAGGTCATAAATATTTTTAAAATTTTAAAAATATATTTTTGATTTTTATTGTTTAAATTAGTTTAATATTTTTTTATTTATTTATAGCATTCATTTCAATTTTAATAGCCTTTTAAAAATGCTGTAAAAGATCAGTTAAGTTTTCAAATGTCATTTTATTATTGTTATAATTGAAAAGATAAAGCTACAGAAAAGTTTAAAACCAAAATCCCTAAAATTTTGGTGCGAACATTCCCCGCTGGTGTGGGTTCCTTATTCTCCTCTGATTGTGGAGGGGTTTCCTTATTCCCCGCTGGTGTGGGTTCCCTTATTCACTACTAGAAATATAGCTTTTTGCGTCTTCTTTGTTTGCGACAGATTGTTTAACCGTCGCAAAAATTCATTTTTACATCAAAATCTAATTTTATTTAAACTCGAAATGTGTTTCACCGTTATTTCCCAAATTTGTCTCCATTTCGCACTCTCTTCGACTGAAGAAGAGACCTTCAACGGTATGTCTCTCTCTCTCCTCAAAATCTCACTCTCCACTCTCTCTTGCTCAACTCTCTTTCGATTCTCCACTCTCAATTTTATTGTTCATTTGAATATTTCGATCAATTGTTGATGAAGATATGAAGATTTTGATTGATTTTTGATGAAGATTTTGATCTATTCATAATCGATAAGCCTAATTTCTCTGAATGAATCCAACTCTCTCTCTCTCTCTCTCTCCCCTCTGTTGTGCCTCTTTTCCGTCACGGACGCTTCTCTTTCTCTTTCTCGCTAGAGCCGACTACGGAGACCTCCAATTTTTCAATTCTAGGGTTTAATAGAGTATTTATTTTCAAATTCTTGAGATTTCTATCATTCTCATCTCTCTCTGTTGCTTGGGTTTAACCATTGATCGAATTCTGGGGTTTTCAATTGATGATTTCAAATTGCTCATGAGAAAAGGGCGAATTAAGTAGTATTATTAGTAATAGCAGACGCAAATGCTAATGAAGCTCACTCACTCACTCACTCACTCACTCACTCTCTCTCTCTCTCTTTCTCTCTCTCTCTCTCTCTCTCTCTCTGTCTCTCTCTTTCTCTCTCTCTCTCTATATATATATATATGCCAATTAGTTCGCTTCTGATGAAGCTCTGGTGCATTGCATTTTGAATTTTGTTTTGAGTTGCATGAAGTTCAATGTGACTCATGTAACTTTGTTTTATGAATTGATTCAAACATTCTAATGTGCTATATTTTCTGTTAAAGAGGCTTCGTGATTGATAGTTTGATTTGAATTTCTGATGCGTTGAGTTTGTTTTTGTATTACTGTTTGTTATCTGCTTCATTAGTCGTAGTTGATTTCTATATTGCTCTGTTTAATTCTGATTTCAAGCTCAGTATTGCTGTGCATTGCTTCTCTACGCTCTCTACCAACAGGTTTGATTTCATGCTCTGTTTTTATTTTCTCCTGATTATCTGAGATGTGCACCACAAATTCAGGAAAATTGAAGAGTTTTGGCTAGTACAAGAAGTACCTCACCCACTTTTGGATGGGATCTACAATTCGCCAAACTATCTAAAAATTTTGCTAAGAAAATAATAATTGATTTCAATTATAGATTGGAAAAGAATTTCTATTAGTTACTGAGAAACTGTCAATTTTTACCTTTGCACCTTTGAAAGTTCTAGAGTTATTTTAGACATTGTATGAGCAATAAACATTTGAGTAGGACTCTATATATCAGAAGCTGAAACATATGATAAAATGTCTGCTTATGCATCTGTTTTATGTAGTTATAGAATGAAATCAATATCCATTTGCATGCAAGAGAGGTTCATATGCATCATTTTGGCCATTTCCTATTCAGCTTTTGGGGGCAATTGGTTAACATGGTATTACTGCTTCAGTTCTAAAAGGTCCATAGTTTGTCTCCTTGTATGTTTTTGTACGTCATTATATATGTTACTCTGCACTTTAGTTCGTATGTTAGGATGGCTCTTTACATGTAAGAGGAGATTACATTAGTGAGAGTGTGTGTGAGAACTTAATATGTATTGTTGGGCCCTTCACATATCAAGTTCTTTCATATATCAAATGCATATACACAAAAATAGATACATGCATGTGTGTACTTGTGGAATATATGGTTAGTAGAGACTAGAGGGATCATATACGGTTATGCAGGATAATCAACCCATACAACCAATGTTGCCGATTCATCTTCGAACTTGGAAGGCTTCCTTAGTTGTATAAACTGCAGTCTTCTCTCAGTTTGTTAGCATCGTGAACTATTGAGTTCTGACTCTTCCATGTACCCTGTTAAGTGTTTGTTATTCAGGGGTTTATATAGTAACTTCTTAAATTGAGTTATAAACAGATCTGTGTCATTTTATTTTGCAGGTGGCAGAATGGATTCTGTGTCGCCACCCATTTAATGAATCAAAGAGAGCATATGTGGTGCCACAGTGTGTTGAGGAGCTTCTGAAGTGTTTTTGGCCAGGGAACCCAGGTGAGAGTTTGGGCATATTGAACTTAGATCTTCGAACTACTAAATGCATAATTTTGTGCTCTTATTATATAATCATTATATTTCTAGTAGCAGAAACAATGTGTTATGTGAGTTGGATGTGTCAGATTTTTCACATTTCCTTATAATTCTCTTTTACCTCTCCAAATGTTTTCCCAAATCCAAGATCCAAACACAGCCCGTCTTATTTATTAACATGGCCATTTTTTTGATCTTTTATTCATTTACTTAACCATCTTATTTTACACGTCTTCACATCTCTAAAGTTAAATGTTTGTCGGGTCATTTTTGCATGTTCTTCTATGCAGACTTATGCTTGATTAGTGTTTGAAAAGAGAAGTTTTCTTGTGGCAAAAAAAAAAAAAAAAGAAAAAGAATATGGCCATGGAAAAGCAATGAAAAATAAGTTTTTGAAATGTACTTATATTCAATAAGATTTCGTATATCTATTCTGTAGATATATTACAGGTGTGGAACACTTTACAGAGCATCAAGTGGCTTGGGTTTCATACCTAAAGTACTTGCTTTTTCATTTCCAGAACTCCATTAAAAAAATTAGGAGCCACTTGATTTTTTATTTTTGTTACCAAAAATAGTAAAGAATTGTATATCATATCAGATACTTTGTAAAATTAATTTATTGACAAATTGTGCCAAAAATATATTCTTGTCACTGACTTAAGTTATCTAATTAAAAAAGGAATATATTGAGGAAGGGCCTAAGGAGGTAAATGTTCCAATCCAGATGATGTAAAATTTCAGGAGGGAGGTGGGTTTTCAAGGGTGGGCGGTTCCTTAGTGAAAATAAGATTTTAATGTAACATGGTCTTCATAAATTGTGACCTTGGTTGTGAAGTTGGCAATGGACATCTATGGCATATTCCTCTTCTCAATGTCAAATAACTTATTTTTACTTGTTTGTGTTTTTCCTTTCTCACAGGAATGGTAATTTGCCTCTCTCATTTATCCAGAAGTACCTCGTGAAGAAACTTGATCTTACAAGTGAAGCTGAGGTGAGTCTATTCAGCGTTCTTTTCCACAATAAATAGGCTAGTAGTTTTGTTAAGAAATTAAGATGCACATTTTCTTTTCTTTTTTTTTTTCTTTCTTCTTTCTTTCATTTTGTAATATATTTACTTCATTTCATATATCTCAAACTACCAGGTTCAAAATTCACATATCTCAAACATTGAAGCTGATCTATTAGCTAAACGAGGACTCTCTCTCTCTCTCTCTCTCTCTCTCTCTCTCTCTCTCTCTCTCTCTTCATGGGGAAGGAGCTAGTATCATGGCAATCCATGTTTTTCCTCATTTTCCCCTTTTGCTATATTTTGTAGGTAATCTTTATTTACTTCGTTTTATCCAGATTTATGCACAATCGTTGTCATTTATTATCAAGAATAATTAACAGGGTGCAAATATCACATTTACTTCGTTTTATCCAGATTTATGCACAATCGTTGTCATTTATTATCAAGAATAATTAACAGGGTGCAAATATCACAGTATTGGGTGGTTCTTCAAAAGCTTTTTATCGGTTAGGCTTCAACTCATAACTTTTTTCTGGTTTGTCTAAGGAAAAAATTAAGGGAAAGTAATAAGGATGAGACATGTAAACAGCTGTTTATTTGTAAGGACTATAAAGGCCATTCCTCTTGGGTTATGTTATGGATCACATTGAAGTCGTGGTCCTTCACTGCATTGTGCTTGGACCTTTGGTAAATGTTTCTCATTCTGTTTCTCCCTTTCATATTTGATTTGATTTGATTTTGACAAATTCAGTTTACCTCTAGTGATTAAATGATCTATTTTTATTTTTTATTTTTTTGGATCTGCCAATAAGAGAACTAAACAAAGAGGAAAAGAGAAAGGAACAGAGAATAAAAAAGACCCAAACAGAACAAAGCAAGACTAACACTAAAAAACAAAGGGGACAACACCATGGCTTCAAAATTGATTCAAACAAAAAGCTACGAAGTTGAGTATCGAATTGAAGCCTCTCTAAGAGAAGCTTTTTAGCTAATTGAACTAAGAATTCCATTCCTTTTGAATACTTTAATATTAATTGGGCAATTGTTTATGGAATTTTATGTGAACCCCCATTTGGTTGAAGTTCATATTAATCACTTACGTGGCAAAATAATAGATGATGGTTATAGTTTTTTCATGAATACCCTTATCATGGTGGTTAACGATTTGTACCTAAAACTCTTTGGTTTTGTGAACGGTGCAATCGATTTGGGTTAAACACTTGCTTCAGGGTTGTCATTCACAAAAGTAAGTGTTTCCAAAGAAAGGTAATCTTTATTTACTTCGTTTTATCCAGATTTATGCACAATCGTTGTCATTTATTATCAAGAATAATTAACAGGGTGCAAATATCACAGTATTGGGTGGTTCTTCAAAAGCTTTTTATCGGTTAGGCTTCAACTCATAACTTTTTTCTGGTTTGTCTAAGGAAAAAATTAAGGGAAAGTAATAAGGATGAGACATGTAAACAGCTGTTTATTTGTAAGGACTATAAAGGCCATTCCTCTTGGGTTATGTTATGGATCACATTGAAGTCGTGGTCCTTCACTGCATTGTGCTTGGACCTTTGGTAAATGTTTCTCATTCTGTTTCTCCCTTTCATATTTGATTTGATTTGATTTTGACAAATTCAGTTTACCTCTAGTGATTAAATGATCTATTTTTATTTTTTATTTTTTTGGATCTGCCAATAAGAGAACTAAGCAAAGAGGAAAAGAGAAAGGATCAGAGAATAAAAAAGACCCAAACAGAACAAAGCAAGACTAACACTAAAAAACAAAGGGGACAACACCATGGCTTCAAAATTGATTCAAACAGAAAGCTACGAAGCTGAGTATCGAATTGAAGCCTCTCTAAGAGAAGCTTTTTAGCAAATTGAACTAAGAATTCCATTCCTTTTGAATACTTTAATATTAATTGGGCAATTGTTTATGGAATTTTATGTGAACCCCCATTTGGCTGAAGTTCATATTAATCACTTACGTGGCAAAATAACAGATGATGGTTATAGTTTTTTCATGAATACCCTTATCATGGTGGTTAACGATTTGTACCTGAAACTCTTTGGTTTTGTGAACGGTGCAATCGATTTGGGTTAAACACTTGCTTCAGGGTTGTCATTCACAAAAGTAAGTGTTTCCAAAGAATTGCAGCCGACGCGCATGGTGCATTCCTTGAATATACCAAAAGAATCCAGTGTGGAAACTCAAACACCACTACAGGGAGAACCAAGGATATCTACATGCATGAGCAATGATGGATTGGTCACCTAGGTAATATGCTCATATTTCAGATGAACCAATCAAATGCTTTCACACTATTTCACTAGTATGCTTCACAACTTTGTGTTGTTCTTGAAGGATTACATTGATGGGAAGCTGCCTCACTTTGAAATGCCCCCAGGAATGTGAAATAATGAAGCTAGCCTAGAGGTTGCAGATGTACCAAGCTCATTTGAGATGCATGAATCAGATTCATCTGATACCGAAAACCCTCCAAGCAGTGAAGATGAAGAAAGCACACCCAATTTAGAGCATGTATTGAATTATTTGAATTCATTTGACATGGGTAATGGATTACATTCTAGGAAGGTCCTTGCGACGAAAAAGTGTGAAAATGCATCTCATAAACAGCATAGGAAGCCTCAGAGGAAAAAATACCGGTCATGGAGGGTCGGGGGTGAGGATGGTGATGGAATGCCAGTAGTAAGAGTATTTCAGAAGCCAGCGAACACGGGTCCTCTTAAAGTTGGATGGGTCCTCTTAAAGTTGGATAGGTCCTCTTGTAGCTCATTGTGGGTGCCACTTTTTACTTGCTGATCACCAGTATGGTTTCCTCTTACCTATAGTTTTTAAGTTTATGTTTCTTAGTGAATGCAATCATTTTACTTGTTTTCTTCTTGTTGCCAAATTATTGAATGATGTGAACTTGATAATGATTAGGAGTTTTTAATTGTAATATCATCATATTGTTGTCTGACTATAGAGAATCTGAAACCTCTGTACATATCGTAGAGATAATGCATATGCCTTCCATATCAGAAATCATTGAAATGGACGTTATCTGAATATTAGTAGAGAATCTGAAATTAGTTTACCTTGTGTAAATTATTGCCATTGTTGCAAGTGAATGATTTGTAACTTGGACAACATTTTTTTTCACTGGAGTGTAGAATGCATTGGATCTACTGCTACTGATTGTTTTAGTATAGTTGGAAATCGAAGGTTTTTATTTTATTTTATTTTTTACCAGATGATGGTAAAAGCTTTATGTTTTGGCCAATACTTGCGCTTGCATATCTATTAACTCTCTCACACACACACACACACACACACACACACACACACACACAAACAAACAAAGACTGCTACCAGATCAATAAAAAAGCTAATGGACTTTGTTTTAAACTTGTCATTGATCAATACAGACTGCTACCAGATCCTCCTTTTTGCTGGTGGCTGATGGCTGTTGCTTGTTGGTTTGCTCCAGCTGTTGGTCTGCTACTGCCGCTGGTTTGCTGCTGCTGCCGCCCTCGTGGCTGATGCTTGCTGGGCTGCTACTGTTGCAATGTTGCTGTGAGGCGGTTGCTATTAGATGTTGGTCTGCTGGATAAGTCTGTCGGTGATTTTCATGCCGTTTTGCATGTCTTTGTTAGTTTCATGTTTTCATTTTGTTATCTGTTGTTTCTAATGTGGGTTCACAATTTGGATGTATTTGGGTATTTTAGTGACTTTACCCTTTTAGGTTTTATACAACGCTTCCAAAAGTAGTATTAGTAGTGTGTTTTTTGCTTGCACATCAACTTTAGGTGATTTCGTATCAATGTTATTAGTTTGTAATAGTGGTGCCTAAGGGATGCCTCTTGTGAATCTGTAAATCTTATAAAAATATATAAAAAGTAAAGCTTTCTCGACAAACAACTTGTCGGTAAATGTGTAGTCAAAAGTTTATTTTTGTCCACTCATATTGTGTTGCTAGAATTGTATTTTTTGCCAATGCCAATTTGTCATTGCCAAAAGTAAACCTTTATCGACAAACAAATCGTTGGCAAATGGCAATATTTACGGACATAAATGTGTTGCCAAAAGTTTACTTTTGCCCACTCATATTGTGTTGCTAAAAGTGTATTTTTTGCCAATGCTAATTTGTCATTGCGAAAAGTGAAGTTTTATCGACAAACAAATTGTAGGCAAATGACAAATTTACTGACGTAAATGTGTTGCCAAAATTTTACTTTTGCCGACGCATATTTTGTTGCTAAAAGTATATTTTTTGCCCATGCAAATTTGTGTCGCGAAAAGTGCCACACAATCATCATATATGAATGACTTTTACCGACGCAAGGTAAATTGCCGACGATGGATGAAAACTTTTATCGACGACTATGTTTGTCGCTATAGGCATTATTTTTACCAACGCAATGATAATTTCGTCGGCAAAAACTTTTGCTGACTCACTTTTGCCTACGGGTTGCCAACGTAGCTTTGTGTGTCGGCAAAACTCTTTGCCGACGAATTTTCCCTTTTAGCAACATATTTTGTTGCGTTGCGAAAAATGCAATTTCTTGTTGTGTTTAAGTAGATTTTAGTAGTTATGTATAAAAGCGACATTTTTGTAAAAATGGTATAGTCTAGGAAAAAAAGAAGAAGTTAGATACATAATAGTTTCATCACATATATATATATATATATATATTGTATGAAAGGCCCCATATCAAAAGCCCGCTTTGGGCTCGAAAATGTAACAACCAGCCTTACCAATGGCTCTATAACTCTATACCTAAATAGAAATCCTTTCGGTTTGTACCATATGCATCTTATTATGTATTTTTACGATAAATATTAAGTAATTTTTATCATTTGAGAAACACACAATATATGTATCTCACTTCTAGTATAAAATACGCGAGGGGCATGCAAAAGGCATTGTTGTCTCACTGAATATGTTGTTTTTGCGGCCTTAAAAAGTCTGAACTAATTTTCCCCAAAGTTTGAAACTTTAATTGCTCATCGAACTGCCCATGTTAATAAACCTAGGGAGCAATTATAAAAGGAAAATAAAATATTAAAATATAAAACTAATTTTACTTTATTTCGGTTTTTTTTTTTTTCGTTAAAAGTTGGTTATTAGTTGTTAGGTTAGTACTTCAGGCGAGCGACTAGATTTTTGGCTTGACAATAATCATAAATAAGGGGAATTCTTTGGGTACACACCCTATGCATCTTATTATTCTTTTGTTTAGTACATGTTACATATTTTTGTGACAAATATTACGTACTTTTAGTATATTTATGATAATTTGTGATTCAGAAATAAAATTACACATTTTTATTTTAAAGTTATACATTTTGTGGTTAAAAATTACTCAATAAATAAAAGTAGCATTAGTACAAAAAGCGTAACATAAAATATGTAACTTCATCTTTGAATTACAAATTATCCTAATCCTACCAAAAGAATAGATAATGTTTGTCATAGAAATACGTAACATGTACTGAAAAGATATGCACTACGGTGCATATATATGGTACACACGGTTGTGTACAGAAGAAATTTACTAAATGGGGAAACAAAAATTAGTAACCAAAAACAATAGAAAGTGTCTAAAAACATATCAATAAAGTTCGTATTTATCCCTACCTAAAATAAAATAAAATAAAATAAGTTCATATAGAAGAAATTTACTAAATGGGAAAAAAAATAAGTAACCAAAAAAAATAGAAAGTGTCTAAAAACATATCAATAAAGTTCGTATTTATCCCTATCTAAAAAATTAAAAAGAAAGGTTCATATAGAAGAAGTTTACTAAATGGGGAAACAAAAATAAATAACCAAAAATAATAGAAAGTGTCTAAAAACATATCAATAAAGTTCATATATCTATAAAAAAAAAAAAAAAAAAAAAGGTTCATTTTTATCAATTTAAAAAAACGTAGCTACATCATGATGAGACGGTCTTGTCTACCATATCTGCAAGGGAGCTAATTAATGTCAGATGTGTAGGTTTAAAATTTGTTCAATTTCCCCACCCACTGACTTATTTATGATTTATGATAGTCACATACACATTTGTGTCCAAGGTGGCTTGCTTGGGTTAGTTCTACTTTTGGGAGGTGACCAAACTATTGCTTATCCCAACTACTTCTCATCAAACTCATGACATTGGTCTTTCCATATGACATATCAGTTTGATTTTCTTTCAATTTGTTTGTTCTCTATAAATATTCATCAATGCATGTTGTTCTCTTCAAACTGATCACAAAGAACTCCAAGCACAACTTCACTCAACTCCTACCTTTGCCCTAAAATTTTACTCCGGTCCGGTCCCAAATGGCTGCTTTTCATACTAGTTTTGTTCCATCTCTGATTTTGTTGCTATCATTTTCAAGCATCCAGATGAGCTGGGCAGCTCGCAATCTACTGCAAACAATGCCTACAATTCCATCTCTGCCAACAATCCCAACCTTGCCAATGCCCACAATGCCAACAATCCCAACCTTGCCAACAATGCCCACATTGCCAACCATGCCCACTGTTCCTCAGCTGACTCTCCCACCTCTGCCGGCAACTTCACTGCCCACCATCCCAAGTACGATTCCTTCAATTCCAACCATCCCAACAACAATGCCTACTGTTCCTGTCTTCTCACCTCCTCCATCAAACTAGATCCCCCAAAGTACTGCCATTTTATTCACCTTTCTACTACGTATAGTATAGTATAGAATAAAGGTGCTATTATGTTATTTGGCAGTTTGAGAGGGTCTTCCTCATGTGTGTGTGTTGTCTTTATTTTTGGGGATTTGTGATATCATTTTGCTATGAGCATTCTGTATTCTTGTTTGTCATGAAATTTGGTGAGTTCTTTTTGCCTTGTTTTATTGATTTTATCTCTTTAGCGTTCTTCAGCATTGATTTCAAGATTTTCATTGTATTGAATTAATACTATCCATTTCCATTAAAGAAATTACACCAAGAGAAAAAAGGGGAAAAAGTTTATGCCTAAAAACTATCTTCCAAGTAAAAAACAATTACGGTGAATGGAGGAGGTTCAGTTGTGAATGAACACACAAAATTCATTGATTACGAGCATAACCTGATTTTGCACCATACTTTACAGCCATCAAAGGAGAAAATTATGCAATGCTATTAGGCATTGTTCCACATAAATCATCATTTGTAATTCTTATTTTATTTCTTAAAATTCCAGCACAAAATTTACAAAGTCTTATTATATGAACCAATAGCATTCACATTAAGATACCACATAACGATACTCCAAAATTACTAAACTCCATCGAAATAGCAACCGTTGAAGCAGACAAGTGGCATTATAGAATTTTGCCAACAATTAACCTCTGGCTGAAGCAGGACACATTCATCATAGAATTTTGCAGACAATTAACATCTTATAAATGCATGCAAGTGTTGAATTAGAATTGCCTGGATTGTTGATGTGGAAAAGTTTTTATGTCTCCATATTTACCTATGTGTGGTATTATTCTATATCAGTTATCAATTGTTATTACTATTAGAGTTGCTGGATAAAATACCAACACAAAAATAATAAGTTTTATTATATAAATCGATCACATTAAATAAGAGTAAATTATATCGTTGGTCAAAGTTTAACTTTAGTTCACGTAGTTTCAATATCATCAAGTTAAACCTGACATTTCCAATTTTGTTTTAATGTGGTCCCTCTGGTAGTTACCATTATCAGTATTTTACTAGAAAATGACACTTGTGACTCACGTGAGAATTTAAAAATTTTCATACAAAAAATAAATTAACAAATTACATCAATGGTTCTTATAACTTTTCCAAATTTTACTTGGGTCTTTCTAGTTTCGCATATGTTTTTCAGTACAAAAATGCTAACGTCAATTAATGAAATATGATCACATTGAAATGCAATTAAACATGTAGAGTTTAAATTGATGAAATTCAAACTAAGGGACGAAAGAAAAATTTCAATAAAACTATAGGGATCTACAAACTCTCCCCAATTGATCTCCACATTTTTTAACACAACTCGGTCACAGGATAACCATACAGTCCATACCACATCAAAAAACAAAGACTCCCACAAATCCTTTTTAAGTGCTTTGAACTTAAATAGCTACACCACCAAGCTTAAAGTCCCACCAAATTTGCAGGACTTACTCCACCAACAAATGACAGTGCACCTGATTTTCCAAACTCTGTCAGTGTCACATAACAGAAGTAGATTATCTGAAGACTCCAATACACTATTACAGAAAGCACAACAGGTCACTGCATCCGGAGAAACAACACCTCTTCTGAGTAATACCTCTCTAGTTAAAGCACACAACGAAGGGATTTCAGTGAGTTTTATTGATTTGATGTGTAATGTTGAAGGGGTTTTGATGCAGCGCGAAACGTGAAATAGTAACAATCTTAAAATTCGTTGATTCAAACAAGAATGCCGAAAGTAAGATTCCTCTCTAGACTTGTTGATTCGCAAAGAATACCGATAATAAAGGCTCAACAATAGTTAATTCAAAAGAATACCCAAAGTTGGACAAAAGAGTATAAAACTCAAAATATATTAATTATCAAAACTAAAGAGCCCTAAGGCTTACACCCATTATTTATAAGCAAAATATAGACCTGACTTAACTAGGAAACAACACCTAACTTAACTAGGAAACAAACAGATTTGGAAAGATAAGGAAAGTACCAAA